ACTGCTCCTGCTCTCTGTTCTCACAAATACTGCACTTATGTTTCCGCCTCTGACTACACTTAGAGACAGACAACCAAGCACACTCACATTCACACCTACGGACAATTTACAATCACCAATTAACCTCAGCATGTTTCTGGACTGTGGGAGGAAGCCGGAGAACCCGGAGAGAACCCACGCTGCACGGGGAGAACATGGAGACTCCACGCAGCCCCACTTAAAGATATGCCTGGGAAAATGTAAATGAAATAAAAAATAAAAAGTATAACTGTTTTCAGTTCTAGATATACACAGTTCATTAACTTCATTGTATCAGTTGAAGTTATGGTGTTATTTAAGTCAGTTGAAGATCTAGTAAACAATGTTCATGTTGATTTATTACACGATGTACAGAAAATGACTTCTGTCACTGTTGTATTAAATAGGATGCTAAGGTTTTTACTGAAACTAACCCCCACTTCCATTAGTGTTACTTGTTTACTCGTTTTATTTCGATAGTGAAATCTCACGATGTCCTGTGATGGTATTTCAGTTTGTCTGACTTTGCTGCAAGATGCCTTTTGTTCAAATAGGTCTCTGCCCCCTCTACTGGTAAGATTAGGCCTAAAACTTTCCTTTTCAGAAAAAGCCATTGGATAGGTTTGCTTACCCATCAGGAAGTTCTGCTGCTATTGGTTTAGACTGCTGCCACTTTTCAGTCATGTTGAACACTTTGTTTGCTTCCTGTATCCTTTTTTAAAAATCTTTTTTAAGTCTCATAATCAGATTTTTCAGTCACACTGGTGTTTCTTCTGCTGGACAGGCTGGTGAAGAAGGCTGATTCTTTGCTCGGCAGTAGTTTGGACTCTCTGAGGCCTGAGGCGGAGAGATGCTACCCAGCACAGTGTGGTCCATCCTGAACAACACCAGCCACCCTCTCCACAGCATCCCGGCTGGACAGAGGAGCAGCTACAGCGGTGGATCATCTGACTGCTGCAGGGCTGAACGTTAACAAGATCTTTTGTCCCTACAGCCATCAGGCAATAGAACACCTCAGTCGAGGGCAGTGGCTCATGACGACCTGTTGGCTGCTACAGTCCATTGACTCAGTTCAACCGTGCATCAAACCAGTCACCCAGGGCCCACCAGCACCCTCACACACGCCATACTTATTATTATTATTAGTTCTATTTGATCCACATTGCATCTTTGTACTCTATCATACTCTGTTTCTTGGGATTCTGTACTCTCATGAGGTTCTGCTTTACTGTAAATACCTCCAATTTGCCCCTTATTGTATGCAGTAATGAGTTTTCCACATTTTTGTAAACACCAGCATTTTTAGGCACCTTATTGTTGTTTCTTCGACCAACATGGTTAGCACCTCAGTCACATGCTCTTTTGTACATTGTGCCTCTATCTATTGTGTGTAACGTGTGTGAGTTGCTGCAGACCTTGAATTTGCTCAAGGGGATGAATAGTATCTTTTTAACTCAAGGATTCAAGGAACTTTCAAGGACTGCCAGCAAAACCAGGACTAATAGACTGAACAACAGCTTCTTTACAACTGCTGTCAGAGCCATAAACGCCTCTTTATCATAATAAGTGCAATATATTGTAAATACGCAACTGCCACCTCTGCGCAATATACACTGTGCTTATTATTTAATTTCATCTCTATATGTAGTGTTTATACATATATAAATGCAATGTGGAGCGGTGGTTAGGACCGTCGCCAGTTCCTCCCACTTCCCTTCGTCCCACAAGGTCCAGAAGCATGCTGAGGTTAATTGGTGATTGTAAATTGTCCGTAGGTGTGAATGTGAGTGTGCTTGGTTGTCTGTCTCTAAGTGTAGCCCTGTGATAGACTGGTTACCTGTCCAGGTGAACCTGCCTTCACCCTGAGTCAGCTGGGATAGACTCCAGCCCCCCATGACCCCATTAAGGTGTAGAGATGATGGATGGATGGATGTATATAGTTGCTTACATAAATTTTAGATATATTTGAACTGAAAGGCCTGCACCTTACTTTTCGTTGTACTTGTTGCAATAACAGTAAAGTGAATCTGAATCTGATTTAAGGAACTTTATTTGTCATGCGAGCTCACATTCACATTCGTTTTTTTTCCAAGAAAAAGTATAATCAATAATAAGTACAATAAAACAAGAGCAAAATATAAGTAAAATACAGCGAAGGAGACTGTACTATTGCACTTGGTTGTTTAAAATATTGCACATATATGGATAAAGTGTTTCATAATCTATCTGTCTGTCTGTCTGTCTGTCTATACTAGACGGCTGAACGTCATCAACAGTCGCCGGCACAGGGTGTAAACAACGAGTGACGTCACTGAAAAGCGCCGCAATAACAGCACGAAAAAAAAAAAAAGAGCCGCGCACCGCGTCGTTAACCGGGTCGCATCTTAGATTCGGTTCGAAATGTTCCCCTGCGTTTTTTCGGTGAATCTTCGTATGAACTGACAGTTTAGTTTTCTGTTCGTCTGCGACTACAGAAGGACATCCCATAATTCTAAACAGCCTCCAGGGAAACGAGCATCCCAGCGGTAGCTAGCGGGAGGAAGAGCTGCACCGTCCGTCTCATTGTACAGCTGCTGGAAAATAAAACATGACGACTTTAACGAGGCAAGACCTCAACTTCGGACAAGGTAAGATAATCATACCGATGAGTGGCATGAAACAGGCACATAGCGGTGGCCTGTCCAGCCCTAACAGAGTACAGCTTCACTTTGCGTACAAACACATACCACGTGACCCGCACCATTGGCTGAATAATCGGCACTTACTGGTCACATGACACCTGTTGTTATTTACCATTTAATGTGAGCCATTAACACAACAAATGTGTGTCCAATGTCAAATAAACATCAAATGACAATAATTCCAGTGTTTCTATGTTGACAAGTCGAGTATTTGCTCTTATGAACGATCAAAAAGAAATACTTCAGTAAGACTGCATTGAAAATACAGGCCCCAAACAGGAAAGTTGTGTTGTGCAAATAAAGGGAACAGACCTGTGATAACTGACTCATAAGTTTTAAAAATAAAACCTTCCATCACTGAAACAAGTTTAAGTACACATGAGGTTTTCCAATGAGCCAGTGGTGGTACTTTGGGGGCTCACAGTGTCACATATTAGAGGTCTTATTATCCAATCTGTTCCTCCTTTTCAGTGGTTGCTGACATTCTGTGTGAGTTCCTGGAGGTCGCCATTCATCTCATCCTGTATGTTCGTGAAGTTTATCCCTCTGGCATATTTCAGAAGAGAAAGAAATACAATGTGCCTGTGCAGGTACTACATTATTACTACACGTTACAGTTTTGGGGACGTCCTGAACTATTTTGTGTCTCACTGGTGTTCTGCTGTCTTTGGCGTGTTTCTTTCTAGATGTCGTGCCACCCAGAGCTGAATCAGTACATTCAAGATACCCTACATTGTGTGAAGCCGCTGATTGAGAAGGTAAGATGTGTCCTGAAGATGATGACAGATAAAGTGTCACCTCACATCTATGCACTGCTGAGGTCCTCTGTTTACCTCCTAGAACGATGCAGAGAAGGTGGTGGTGGTCATCATGGACAAAGAGCATCATCCAGTAGAGAGATTTGTGTTTGAGATTTCCCAACCTCCGCTGCTCTCTATCAGGTTTCCCTTTTGATCAGACTACAACGACTGTCTTTATTCTGTGACATGTTTTCTGGTCACTGACTGTGTTTTGTTGTCACAGCTCAGACACTTTACTGTCACACGTGGAGCAGCTGCTGAGGGCGTTCATCCTGAAGATCAGCGTGTGTGATGCCGTCTTAAATAATAACCCACCAGGTAACGTAACGGGTGACTACTTGAGGGAAAGTACGTTATGTGATTACGGTGAAGAAGAAGAAGCAGCGCTCTGTTTATTTTAAGTGGAAGTTACATTAAAAATCTCTAAAAATAAATGAATGATTTTGATAAATAGTCCAATTGTGATCCCAATATTGATCAAAACATTCAGAATCATGTGGCCCTTGTGAGTTTTCTGGTAACATATTGACTACAGAAGGATGATGTTGACCAAAAACAGGTACTTTAATGTCATCGTTCTACAGTTTCTGACACCACATGAGGCAACACAACTCATCAGTTTGACCAATTTAATTAGCAACACAAAGCTCTGTGTGCTGAGTACAAAGCCAGAACTAAATGTCATCCAAAGCAAAAAACTATTTTGGATGCCTTTGCCAGTGTTAGGTCATATGAGATGAGATGGTTCTATAAAGTTTTGTTCAACTTACAAATGCTTGACTCCTAAAGTCATCTTGGTTCCTGATTAATCCTCCTGTTCTGTTTTTCTTCGTCACAGGGTGTTCTTTTACAGTCCTGGTCCACACCAGAGATGCTGCTACACGCAACATGGAGAAGGTTCAGGTTATCAAGGTGAGATCTTCAAACACACGATGCAATAAAACTACTATTGCAATAAGCTCCAAAAATCTGATGTTGGTCATGTTTGTGAATTTGCAGGATTTCCCGTGGATAGTCGCCGACGAGCAGGAAGTCCACATGCAGGAGCCTCGACTCATTCCACTCAAAACCATGACCTCTGACATAGTAAAAGTGAGCAGAAACATCCCACCTAATGATTACTTTAACTGTTCAAAGACAAACATGGACACTGAAATTAGGTTGAGGTTTAACTGTGTAGCCTCGATGAATGTTGTCGAAATATCCTTGATGTCGTTTAAATGCCTGTCGCTGACATCTGGTTGTTTTCCGTTAACAGATGCAGCTCTACGTGGAAGAGAGAGCCCAGAAAACGTAGGCGCTGACTCTGCTGAAAGGATTGTTATCTAATCTGTGACAACAAGGAATCATGAAGAGAATATTTTATACAGCCAATCGGAGGTGTAGTGATGAGTTTTGCTGAACACGTGGGGTCAGAGATGCATTCACTTGCCGGTGTTGAGGGTCGGAGGGATGAGCTGCGTTGACATTTTGTACAAAATCTCCATCCGTCATTAATCTGGTCCACGCAGGTGATCGACTGTATTTGATATGTATCATGTGTGTGGTTCTGTTTTTATTGACATGTATTGTGTGCAGATGCAGATTTTTAATGTAACATAATGTAGTTAGAACTTTGTGACAGTAAAATTCAAGGAGAAATGTTTGAATGCAGACCAGAGTACCACCATCTCCCACCAGCACCTTCAGTCCACAAACCTGTAACTGTGCTGTGTTGTTATTGTAAGAATATTTCACAATGTGTTTGCATTGTTTTGCTCTTAATCCACATGAAAAAGCGTCCTGTTCCCTTCACAGGGAGGTCAGTCCATCTCTTTGTTTACTGTACAGCGTCTTCACAGCGATATTAAGCTGCTGAGCTGCAGTGGTTCCTCATGCGATGGCTGCAGCAGCCTCCATCAGGAGCACTGTGTCGAAGCGTCAGTGTAAAAGTCTTGGTTGGGTCCATGTGCAATAAATGGATCTCGGTGTGTAAAAGTGCAACAATCTTCTGTTATGTGACAAATGCAAAGTTCTGATGTTTACTTTTAAAATGCAGCGATGTGTTTTAATATGAAAAAGGCTATGAGATTGTAATAAAACCCTTTTAAAGCACCAGCACGAGAACTCTTCGTCTTAGTTTGTGGTAAAACGAGACTGCTGCAGACTGGCAGTGAACTGAATTCATGTATCTCTATGGAGTGGAACGCTGAAGGACTTCAGTGAAATCAGACTTTATAATAACTTCATATGTTATAACTAGTGGAGCTGCAAGGTGGCGCGATGGATAGACTCCAGCCTCCCACGACCCTAGTGAGGATTAAGGTGTAGAGATGATGACACTGACTTGATTTTGAATGAAACATCACTATGACACTCATTAGAAATGTAATCCTCACATGTCCACATATGGTTTTATCTCCTTCGTGTCTCACCTCATCATACTGTGAAGCCTCCACGTTCATGTTGATGTCATCCTCGTTCCAGTGATCATATTGTAAGCTGCCAGTGCCGTTGGGCTCCATGGTGTAGATGTTGTTTATGTGCTGGATTCAGGGATCACTCACTGCTTCACTGCTGTGTGCTGGGACACAGTGAGGATGAAGAGTTTCTATGTAAATATGTACAGCAAGTGTCCATAAAGCATTATAAGGCATGTAGACAACAGCTAAACACAAAACAGCTGCTTTAACATGCTGTCATTTTGCATCTTTATTTCAAGAAACTTTGCTACCACTGAAAAAAGCTGCAATCATCAACTACGACATAATCCACCTGAATGTGTTTTATTTCATGTGTTTTACATTTAAAATTGGTTTTGGTACAAATCTAGTCTGACAGTTAAGTATCTACGCTGCTAAATAATCAAGCTCACAAAGCAGTGAGCGGCCAAAGTTCATGTGTTCAGCCTGTCATAAATTCATTGGTTGTCATCCAGCTCTTGTCTTTCTCCTCATTATACGACTCAGTGATAAAGTCCAGTTCAGGCCCTGTGTGGTTTTTTTCAGCCTCTGGTTTCATTACGTCCTGTGCAGAACAGTTGGTTAATTTTGGTGAAATACAAAAACTCATTGTTGTTTCAAAGGAAGAGGAGAAATACGGGTTTTTCTGGAGCAACACCGCGTACTTCTGTTTTAAGATAGATACCAAGAAATCCAGCAATCTCAGTTACTCACTTTGAATTCTTTAAATATACTCAAAGCCAGCAAGGAGCTCACCTTAACTTATCATATATACAGGAACATTACTCTTTGAGGTAGGTCCCTGCATGTGGAGACAGTTGAAGCTGATTCAGATGACCCGGGATCCAACTCCCTTCATCTTTATGGTCACATTACGACAATATCAGAACGAAGGGTTACAGCCGACTGCAGGGCACAACCTGCACGTCACTGCAGGACCTCCATCCATCCATCCATTATCTCTACACCTTAATCCTCACTAGGGTCATGGGGGGCTGGAGCCTATCCCAGCTGACTCAGGGTGAAGGCAGGTTCACCTGGACAGGTAACCAGTCTATCACAGGGCTACACTTAGAGACAGACAACCAAGCACACTCACATTCACACCTACGGACAATTTACAATCACCAATTAACCTCAGCATGTTTCTGGACTGTGGGAGGAAGCCGGAGAACCCGGAGAGAACCCACGCTGCACGGAGAGAACATGGAGACTCCACGCAGGAAGATCCCGGGTGTCCTCACCGGGACGCCAACCAGCGACCTTCTAGCTGTGAGGCCACGGTGCTAAGCACCGAGTCACCTGTGGCGGTAATAACTGTCACTTTATTAACTTGAATGTTGTACACTGCTGCCACCCAATGGACAAGCTTTGGGCTTGGATCCCTTTCACCCTCTGATGTATTTCTCATACCTAAATATGAATAATACACGTTCAATTCCAATGATCTGTGATGTGAAAACAAACAACATGTTGAAGAGTTTTTCGTTACAATTATACACAAACCTGTTTTTAGTTTCTGGTTGAGTTATTAACAATGTGAACCAAACCAAAGAAGCCAGAAATGTCAGAAAGCAGTGGGTTAAACTGTGATCATGTGTTGTATTTGGAAAACTTGGTCAAGCAAGAATAAAATAGAAACAGTAGAAGTATTTCAGAACCACACTTTAGTGTAGTAAATGAGTTCATGTATGTATTTACATGCAGCCACTGCAAGCACATCTCTCCAAAGATGTTTAATCTTTGCTTAAAACTCAACAATGTAAAACTCAAATGATGCTTTTTATTGAAACATTACATTGCTGTTTGTTCCTCTTGCAAATCCAGTACTGTTGGTGTTTATCCACATGGAACCTTTTCTCCCCTTTGTTCCTTTTTATCTTAAGACTAGAGGTTGTTGTAGGTTTTAGGGCCCTCTGAGATCCAGACTACGTGAATAAGCACTGACCATATTACTCTGGGCAAAATGTGATTTTTTCACAAAGATCTCGTCCTTGTCAGAACAATGTTAAGCTGTTGCTTGCAGACCACTAGAGAGCAGAGTTCTTGTAGAGAGAGTATAAAGTCTTTCCCATGGCGCAATAACCTTCATTATCTTGTTGTGACTCAGACCGAGGCCCTCTGCTCCACCGACACCAGGCTGACCTTTGGTATGGAACACAGAGCAGAGCTCAACGCTGAAGCCACAGAAACAAAGAGAGGAGCCGAGCCGATCCTCCACATGATCGGAGAACCACGAAATATGGATCTTGAGCGTGGCCTAAATTAGCTTAGCCTCCATGTAATGTTGTAGAGAGCCTGTGACATTCATATTGAGTTGTCTTGTCTTAATTTAAAAGTAGAACTATGTTGTCCTTCATCACATCGTTTCTTCCGACTTCCTACTTCCTACCCGGGTGGCTGACTCTAGACACAAATCCACTGGACAGTTTACTTCAAGGTGAGCTCCTCGTCCGGTCACGTTCTCTGACATCTACGAGGCTCCAGGCTGTCTCTCAGCAGTACAGACGGCTGAGGCGTGTTTTTGGTTGTGATGCAAATTCAGTGTTGTGTGACCTGCAGGACTGGTGGGTGCATGTGGGATCTCTGTGCTGTGCTCCCTGTTGAGAGTGCACTTATTGTTAGAGGAGAGGTGAGGAGCTTTCCATTTGATATATCTGTGAATTATGAGTTGCACATTGTGAGCAGCTTGTGTGATTACATGCTGTCATCATTCTCATCAACATGTTCATGCATCACAATAGGTTCAGAATCTTTACACTTTTATTTCTAATTTGATGTTTGTTTGTTTTTTACTGTGACTCACAGCTGGAGTGAAAAACATGACAAAGATCCAGCGAGTGAGAAGAAAACCAGTCAGCAAACGAGACCTAAAAGTGGACTTCCTGAGATGCTCCATTTTCTCTTTGTGACTGGGATACTGGCTGTAGTGGGCTCTCGTGTGGCCTCACTGGTGGTCCTAGAATTTTCTCTTCGAGCCATCTCTGGATCACTTACAGCTGGACCAGTAAGAAACCAACTATATGCTAAAAATGTGCCTGATGCTCAGCTGTACAACCTGACAATCCTCTGGCTTCTCTTAGAGTTAATTTCTAGATGTAATCACGTCACGATGCCTCATGATGTTGTTTACCACAAACAGATCCTAATCTGCTTTAATTCGTCCTTCACTTCTGTTCATGTGCTCCTTTATTTCTCAGGAGTCCAGGAAATTTCTGCAGCAGCTGTTAGTTCAAAGCCAGTTCTCCCTGGGATGTGCGCTAACCTGCAGTTTGTGCTTTCTCCACGAGGGGTCATCTCAGCGCTGGCTTTGTCTGCTCCTGGCAGCAGCACTCAGCTGGTTCCTGGCTAGGCAGGCCACGGGCCTGCTGCACCATGTCACGGCTCTATATAAACTCCACAGCTCACAGCGCTACTGCGGCATTTGCATCAGCCTCCTCACATCAGGAGGCTGTGTGCTGCCCATGCTGTGCAGGGCTATGATCATTACCTTCTCTGTGGCCGGGCTGGCTGCTGTATCAATCATCAACCAACATTTCCTGTCTGCAACAGAAGCTCTCAGGTTTTGGACGCCACTGACTATCTGCTACACACTGCTGGTGGTGTACATGCAGGGTGAGAAACATGACAATGACACCAGATTTAATGGTGCAAACTCATCAGACACTAATAAATGTGGGTGAGACCTCTAACAACACCACAGCCATTAACAGCATGACAGTATGGACCATCTACAGACTGAGGAAATCAGCAATAAATGGTCACTGTTGTTGTTTCTCTCTGGTCTTGACTTTACTTAAGCATCAGTGATTATTTAGGCATTCTTGTGTTGTACCAACTCTATGTACTCAATCTGCATTAAAGTCAGATCGTTCCCTCTAATGCTGCTCTGATGTCTTGGTACTGCAGAGGAGCAGCACCGTCTGCCTGGCAGCCAGGCCGTCCTCAACGCAGTAATGGTGCGTCTCGGAGGTTTGATGGTCCTGATGCTGACTGTTGGGCGCTGGGCCGACGTGCTCCACATCCTAATGTGTTTCCTGGGTGAGGCCAGCTGTCTAATCCCCGCGAAGGATCTGCTGGATGCAGCAGCCTCACAGGTCAGCGAGTCTCCCTGGAAGCAGCACACAGGGCCGAAAGCACTTTCTGTCCATCGAGACCCAGAAACTGGGGCAGAATATCAATGTGTTCATTAGACTGGGTCCCAGGATGAGACTGAACTTCTCAAACTTGTATCCCGGGTGGAGAAGGTTTAGGACCCCCAAGACAGATTCAGGTCAGAGTAATCTCTGACTCAGAATATTGCGCCTACTTTTTTGCTTTCACTGAGTTAGCCTGATTAAAAAGTTGAGGCTTTCAAATGAAGTATTTTCAGCTGATGCAGAGCAAATATAAAAGCTGCAATTCATGCACTTGTGTTGACTTTAAAAAGGATGAATTCTGTCAATAAAATGGGTTTATTTAAATTAAGATTAATACAAAGATGATGAACAGGAAACACACAATGAATGTAGCCATATGAAAACATGTTGGACACATTATTTCCATTATACCACTTATTAGTATTATTGATAGTATTATCACTATACTATAGATATTGTGACTGTCATGTTTGATCCTATGTGGTCTTTGTCCAGCAGCCTGGTTATGCAGCTGTTATCCTACATTTCATGCCGTTCATTTGTCACGTTTGTTGTGTGCACGCAGGATGAAGAGGATTATACCGGCTACGTAAAGAGAGAGCGTCGACAGCGACCACGAGCACACGACAAGGAGCACAAAAGATAGAGGAGAGCGTACGGGAGCCATTTTTAGACGTCCACAGTTGTTGTTTTTTGTACCTACAAATATTTTGTTTTGTTTTTTTCAATTAAACATTCTGCAAAGACTCTAATGTAAATGTTGTTCTTGGAATTGCAGTCCAGTGAAAACCTGGATTTATTAAAATGGTTTTGCTCTGTGAACAATAGCATCCACACAGTGATCTACCCTGTTTTGTTTGGATTTATTTTTTAATTTATTTATGGTTTCTTTCCATAGATGAAGGCAGGAAGAGCTGTTTTGTTTTTAATCTCTTTTCCCCCCTCTCTGTTTCTCACTATAATAATATCTCAGCCTGCTGCTCTGGGTTTTATGTTCAGTCTGACCTCCTGAGCAACCTCTCATAGATCCTGTCCATTTTTCTCCCCTTTTCTACTGATCGATGAAGGTCGCAGCTTTTATCAAGCCCAGCTGTGTTCCAACGGCTGATTCTCATTATGCCACTAATTAATGCTCCTTATCAAGAGGAGACCAGCAGCTCACGACTAAATCTGTTGGGTTTCATTTCCACACCAAGAACAGCAACCACGAAGCTGCACAATAAATAACAACAACTGGATAAATCGCTCACGCGCGGCTCAGATCGTGTTTTTTAATTTAATTTTTTAATTTTTATTTTTTTTAAAATATCAAATCCGCCGGTAGCACAAAAATGTACTATAAGCAGAACAAAGCGATGTGACCACAAACAGCTCATGCGGTGGGTTAGCTTATTTATTTGTGCTACAGTGGCTGTTCTCCACAGACCGTGTGGGCCTGCTCGGTTCTCTCCCGTCTGCTCGAGAAGAAAAGCCAAAATGGCTGACGACAACATTAGCGCAGCAAAGTCACACAAAATGGCGTTAGACAAAGAAACGGCGAGATTCCTTGGTTTTTACTTTGACCTTCGCTCCGACGACATTTTGCGGACAAAGACGTTTTAAGAAGTCAGTAAGCCGACTGATACACGGCATTAACCCCAAAAAACTCGCTTTATACCTCCCGTGGGGCTTTTACGAGAGATTTATTGTTTAGTCGCCGTCTTTACAGCCTTTGCTAGGCTACGTGGTCTCAGTAACGTTACCCAACATTAAAGCCTGACTTCCTGTGACAATTTATCAGTTCTCTGACACCCACATCGAATTAAATCCACATTTTGACGCCGGTATGATGCCCATTAGGCGTGTCTTTATTGAGAGCTGTGAGACATATTCCAGGAGAGGGTTTTTGTTATGTCAGTCCCATCATTCCGTGTCAAAAAATTACAGGGGGCAGATTAGTCCAGTTTCCAAGATAATCCAGGTCTGAAAATCACAAAAGATGAAATTTAGTTTTGGTGTCTAGGCGATCCACCAAAATAGCAAATTGTACTTCCATGGGTTTATTAGATTTTTAATGGAATAGAGCTCCACATCAGGACGCATTCAGTAGACATGGGGAGGACGTTCTCCATGAAAATGCCCATTGCAGTGACTGAGAGCTGCTTGTCGCCTCCTCCGGAGGTTTCCAGACTGTTCTGTCCTCCGCTGATAGGCACACTGGACGCATGCGCAGGGCAGTTTCGCGTACCCCCCGCATTTTAGCGCAGGCGCACTTCTGCCTGCATGCTTAATATAGTAACAAAAGCAGAGCGATGCCGTACTGTAGTCAGAGAGCTTTTCTAAATCAAACAATGCCACTGTCGTTTTTCTTGGCCAAAAAATACAATGCGCATTAGAATGAGCATGAACAGAATGTACTGAAGAGTAGATTAACTAAAGTTGAAACTGAATTCACCCACCATTTTATTTACATGTTGACCCCTATTTTGGGGTAATATATTTAAGGTGTCTGCACAATGAGAAACTGCTATCAGCATTGGTGAGGGACCGTCTATCAAGTCAAAACGCCCAAACATGCAATTTTTATTTACCTCCCATCAATGTTTATCACCACTGTTCTCTTGGACTTTCAGACACAGGCCTGATTGTTTCATGTTACTTATTAGCTTAAAGCAGAGCTCAGACCAGGTCAATGTTCTTGACTTAATAGCAAGGCTTAGCTTTTTTAGCCAACTCGTTTTAGCCAAAAGCAAACCTTGGATTTGTTGGGATGACATAGGTTGTGAATTGGCACTATTTAAATTAAACTAAATTGAATAAAAGTGTTCCACTGCTCTGTACTGATTCTGTACTTTGGAAATTAGATTTACTGTGTTAATACGTAACTCTTATTTGATAGATATGTTATCAGATGTCAACAGATGTAACAATGCACATACTAGGGTTTCTTCTTCTGAACATCAAGTCAGCTCGCAGAAGGGATTTGGTTTGAACGAATGCTTCTTCCAAACAACCCACATGTTATGGGTATTTTTCCTCACCGGTTGTACTCTTACTGCATGTGCACAGTTTTGCTAAATCGTGCTTAAGTCAGCGCAACAACACGATTAGCTGGATGTTTCCACGTTCAGCTGTTAAAAAGCAAACAGTTGACTTTTTGGTGAGAGGGGAATAGAAATAGACAGTCTGGCCTGTAATCTATTCCATTGTTATGATGTAGAGAAGCACGAAGCTGCTCTGTTACTGTAACTTAAAGGAGTATTATTGGCATTTAGACAGATTTTGACTTATGCCAGAGCTTATTTCTGTTCTGAGACTTGTCACATCAGACTACTAGCATTCAGATCAGCCTACGAATGTAATTTAGCTTCCTGTTTTCTGCGTGCAGGTTTAGACTCTGTTTAGATGGAGGGGGATCAACACACTAAATCCTTATGTATGACCTGTAATTGTTCACTGATGTAAACTGTTGAAAGGTTTTTATGCACATTAAGCAACTCGAGGTGACTAATAGGTCATCAGCATCCATTTTTCAAACTACTTATTCCATTCAGATTACAGCCCAACCCAGTTACACCCTGTGACACTTATTAATCTTTAGTCCAAACTATCAAGCTGAGTGGGAGTAATTCTAAATTCTTTGTTGACTTTTTTAAACGTGGGCTCACTTCATAATTTGAGTGCAATGTTTTTTGTCTGCACATTGATAAAAATAAAAATAAAAATAAAAAACTAATGGTCAATATAATAACAAACACTCTGAAAGTCCCAAACTGTCTTTGACTCGGTGCAAAGTGCCTCACCTTGCCATACTTCACCGACAGTGATGGGATCCTCCTGTGAGTCAAAGCTTCTCAGATGTCAAAGCACCACCATTCAACCAGGGGTTTTCTCGCGCATGCGCAGGGGCGGAAGACGATCTCATCGGGGAGAAAAAAAGAAGTTCACACACAAAGCCACGCCTGCGCGGTGTGCCTCTCATTACAAGCGAAGTTGCTGCATCTTTTTAGGAAGCTACATGCTTTCTTTCGACACCCAAAGGTCGCATGGTGTCAGGGACGCGCCTAGTCACGGGAACAGACCGGAGCGCGTTCGTGAGGTGCAAGATCGCGCTTTAACAGTGAAGAGTATCAAACAGCGTGCGGGGATCCAGCCTAATGGTTTACATTGGGTCACAACGACCAGTCAATGATTTGCGCCAAGTATCTTTCTTCTTGTCCAGCGTTTATTTTGCAGCCCTTTTGTATTTTGCACGGGGACAGACTGACATAGCAAACTCATCTGTATGGTCGGGCGGCAGGAGCACACAGTATGGTCCGGGAAACCAGACATTTATGGGTGGGAAATTTACCCGAAAATGTGCGAGAGGAGAAAATTATTGAGCACTTCAAGCGGTGAGTACAAACATTAATGAGCACTGTGTGTGTGTGTGTGTGTGTGTGTGTGTGTGTGTTTTGTAACGTAACGAGTGCGCGGCCAGCATCTCTCTGTTGTGTCACATTTTTAGTGAAGTCGGGATGAAGCAGGAGGTTCCCCCCCGTAGCAAAGTCCCATTTGGCAACCGCGCTGTCAGCTAAGCAACAACACTGTGCTGCGTTGGAGCGGAGATGAAGCGACGAGCGCCCTCAGCCACCCAGCTAGCCCGCATATGGCTGTGCCATTTTCACACTAACTTGTCGGCTGGCTGATAACTTTACTTTCGCGTCTCGTGCGTTCCCACCAGGTTGACTCTCGAGCCCGTCCACCTGGCCGCCGTGCAGAAAGCACATTTCCCCGCTGACAGTCAGTGTAAACAAACTTGAGCTACCTGCCGAGCTGCTGGCCGCGGACAGGCTGTGCGTTTAACACGCTGCATCTCTGGCAGCAGACGAGCCGTGTGTGTGTGTGTCGGTGCTTCTCTGCCGCTTCACCGGACTCTCGCTCGGTCAGGTAACCTGTGCACAGCCGGTTAGCATCCAGGTGTAGCCGCACGTCAGAGTGCACAGGGAGCTCAAACCTGCACCTTTGAGTCTCTATAACCTAAATGCACCAGCAGCCAGTGGAACCTGGAAGGTGACGCGACATCACGCCGCCATCCATCTATCCATCCCTCCCTCCATCTATCCCTCCATCTATCCCTCCATCTATCCCTCCATCTATCCCTCCATCCATCCACGCTGTGATTCAACGGGCTGCTGTCCGCTCACTAATGTGCACCAGGAGGCTGCTTGTGTTTACTTTTGTGCCAAACACAGAAAATGGTTGTCTTCGCCACATCAGACCCGCGTTGCTCCCGCAGCAGCCTGCAGCGTGATCCGATGCGAATCAAACCCACGTATCCGCGTTTCTGATCCTCTCACTCGGCCGCTCCGCTGTGCGCTCAGGCGGCCGGTCGGAGCAGACCAAACCCCTGCACCATTTATGGGCTTTTAGCTCTTTGTTGTCTTCCTCGGACTGGAAAAAAAAAAAAAATGTAAATATGATTTTGTGTGTGTGTGTGTATGTGTGCGCGTGCGTGCGTGTGTCTCTGCGCGCGCTCTCGCTTCTCTCTTTTCGGCTGTCAAGGAAATAGCAGCTTGTTCATAAGAGCTGGAGACCAGACTGCTGCTGAAAAAACCCCAGTCTGTCTATATGAGCAGCGCTTTTTGTTGTTGTTGTTTTTTTTTTTCTTTACTGTGTAGGCGTCGCCATTATCGGACAAAAAGCTGCTAAATTACCAGCATTAATCCTATTTTACAAAACTGTAACCGAAAGCCACGTCGTATAAATATATACACCCAACCCCCCCTTTAATTTGTATAACATATATAATGTGATATTAATTTCTCTTTTTATTTACGGCGCAGCGGCTGAACTACAAACATGGTGCGCGCGTGATTCATGCAGCCTCGCAGAACGCGCAATAATGGGCTACCTATATACTGTTTTATTTACATAATCCCGTGCTATGATTATGTTTGGGGGGGATGGTGGCTGGCAGGCTGTCATTGCTACAGCAGAGGGGAAGCTGTGTTGTTGGCGAGTCCTTTTTTTTTCTTTCTTTCTTTCTGTTTTTTTTTCGCAATGCTACCTCAGCTCCAGCGCTCAGCCAGAGGTAGTCGGAGCATGCAGGTGCATGACAGCCCAATGTGTGATAGAAGTCATTGAAGATGGGGGACGGCAGAATGAGTAAGCAGTGTGAACAGCTTTTCTAAAATGGCGTCGGGGGCTGTTCAATGTTGGGAACGGGCATGCCAATAAATTTATAGGCACCCTACTGTCTCTCAGCAAAAAAAAAAAAAAAAAAAAGCACACTCCTGAAAGATCCTCTGGACTGGGAGAGGTGGTGGTGCTGGTGGTGGTGGTGGGGGGCTCTGTGCGTAAAGATAATAGCAGGCTTTGTAATCCTACACTGGGCTTGTAAATTCTGTGTAATAGGCTTCCCATCAGTCAATTGAACCATCACTTAACGAGGCATTTTGTCATTTACAGGTTTATTAAGGAAACAAAGGGATGCTGGCCCTTGTATACATCTATTTTAAACTCCATTACACCGGTAAAAAAAGGAGAATAATGATGTTTTTAGTGTGTCAAATTGCACCAAAAGTGTAATTTGGGGGCATGTAGATGTACAAGGCATTTTAAATCTCCACCATCAGGAGACGTCACATCTCTTTACACGCTGCCTACATGTTCCTGTGTGCAGCTATATGCTTATAGGAGCACCTTCCTCCCTGGAAATGTGCATTTATTAACGTGCAATGTGCCGAGGCTTCAAGTCCAGTTGCTGGGTTACTGTTGCCTCGTAAGAAAGTACCACGGAGCGGAAAGTAAGAGCAGCAAAAAAAAAAAAAAAACATGTTTCCTCCCACCCCTCCTCACACACACACACACACACACACACACACATTTGATTTACAGTGCAGCTTGATAAAGGCATCACCAGTTGGGAAATTATGAATTCAAATATTAATCGTTACCGTTTTCATTAAGAGTTCAAAGCAACGCCCTTGTTTTTATAATTCAGAAAACCCGACCCAGCATCTCTGCAAACGTACTGATCCTGATGTTTCTCTCTCTCCAGGTATGGACGGGTGGAGAGCGTCAAGGTCCTGCCCAAGCGGGGTTCGGAAGGTGGAGTCGCGGCCTTTGTGGATTTTGTGGACATTAAAAGTGCTCAGAAGGCTCACAATGCTATCAACAAGATGGGAGACAGAGACCTGCGCACTGATTACAATGAACCGGGCACAATTCCTAGTGCAGCGAGGGGGCTGGACGATAGTCTGTCCTTAGGCTCTCGTGGCCGGGATGTATCAGGGTTCACAAGGGCGGCGGGGGGGACCGTGTATGGGCCCCCCACGTCGCTTCACAGCAGAGAAGGACGCTATGAACGCAGACTAGACGGGTAAGTGGACAAAGTTTCTCTGAAGGCAGGGGGGAGCCGTGGTTTCTGACAAACACCTTACCTCCAAGCATCTTTCCACTATCTATTCATTTACTGGTTTGGGGTTTTAAAGAGGAGAATTAAATCTAATAGAGATCCCTTGTAACGTCCTCAATGTGTGGCCAGCGATTCTGGATTTACACTCACAGGTAGACACCGGGAGAGCACATCTGTACACAAGTATATCCATTACCTAAACCAATAGTCGTAGTTTGCTGGGGATTATCTTTGCGAGTTTTAAGCATCTCTTTGAGGTGGATGTATCATATGTGGAAAATACGGGGCAAAGATTGGATCTCGTAAAATTTCCCAGGATTATGGGAGATTGCTGGAGAGGGGGAGAGAGAGGGGGAGAGAGAGAGAGAGAGAGGGAGAGAGAGAGGGAGAGAGAAAGAGAGAGAGAGAGTGGTCGAGCGGCCATCCTGGGATTCCCTTAATCTGGAGTTACGTGCCCTGCTCGCTGGATTAATGTCACCCAGTTTTCCTCATGTAACCAAACTACCATATATGTATAAGACACCATTGTCTGGATTAGTCTAATTTGGTTTTCAGTTATCGTGCACCCCTCGTGGAGGTGTTCACTTTGGTCGTGGGCCGGATTCATGTGGATAACCTACACAGGATATTTATTCCCCACTGTTGGATTAACGTTGGCCAGACACCTAAAGGATATGCTATCATGCTAAAGGTATGGGTTGCTTTCTGGGTTCTTTGTTTTTTTCTTTTTTCTTATTTTTTTTTTGGTTGTTGTTGTTTTATTTGGGATTATATCTAAAATCAGGGCATTACAAATTGAGAGCTGGGAGACCTCTACTGGTGATCCATCTCAGTAGAGTCAACAGAAACAAGTGAGCAAATGACTTTTTTTTTTCCCTGCCTATTTTTGTGGAGATTATTTTTTTTTCTTTTCAACGACCAAGACTTGCTCGATTTGCCGAGGACCGGCCAGGTCTCCATTGGATCGTACAAATCAGAGAAGAATGCTGGAAACGGTGACTGGGAAGTTGTGCCGACCTCACTGCTGGAGATAACCTACCTCATGTCTGTGGATTACCTCAACCTTTCCTGAATGTGGAACTATAACTAAACCTTGGATATAATTACGCACAGAATCGAGCTGAACTGTGCTGAACTGCGTTTGTCACTGACTCAGCCAAGGCTCGGACAGCATGCAGGCTTTTCTGCTTGTACAGGAGCTCGCGGACGGACAGCAGACATGAACGCTTGTGAGGTTCAGAACTGGTGCACGTGTTCTCCGCCCTCACCACGAATACAGTCCTACCATAAACAAGAATCTGGATTACTCTTGTAAGACGTCTTCGGTGCTTGTCTGTGGCGGTCAGACTCCCCTCCCTCTTCTTAAGGAATTTGTTGCCGTGCACAGTGTGGCCAACGTGGAATGTGCAGGACTTAAAAGCAAAGATGCAAGACTCAGTTTCTCACACCTGTGAGGGAATCGATGGTCGGCTCATTGAAGACGGGCTCCTGGATATCCTACGTTTGCTCTACCGGACTCAGTGATTTTTCTTTTCCCTTCCACACATTTGGATTGATATGTGAACTATATATGTGACATTTTCCAGCATCAAAGACATCCTAACTTGGATCTGTACAAGGCCAAGTTTGTTTTTAACTAAACCGGACACTTCCAGCTCATCTATGCACATGAGGCCCTGAGGACGAGGATTTCTAACACTTTTGCTTCAGTTTTTTCTTTTTCTTCCCTCTGATACTCAACATTTTTGTCCGTTTTTTTGCTCACAAAGTTCTATCTCCCTAAATTGTATTTGGAATTATAGGTCAAGTTACCACTCTCTCAAAAGGTTGGTATGTCCTGCCCTGTGTATTTTAGCTGTCCTCTCTAACCCCCTAGTTTGAACCCCTGTCTCTCTCCATTTTCCCCACTAACCGAAGTAGCTGGCGCATAGACTATTATTATTATTATTATTATTATTATTATTATTATGACTGCCTCTATATGCAGACATTTGTACCTTACCTTGTATTGTTTTCCTGTTTCCTCCTCTCACCTGACCCCACTTTCAGCTCCTGTCCCCTGCTCTCCTTTTTTAAAATATATATAATAGATCCATATTGTTATAAATGAACACACTGTAAAATGTCCCCCTTTAACAGGCAAAACATTCTCAATATAAGAGAAGCATCGAGTTGTGGATCCTCGGAAAAAGTCGTCCAAATAAAATTCAAAGATTTGTCACGTTTCTGCAATATGTTTAGTGAAATGCACGGGTGGGATTCTCTGGAGGATGTGCTAATAACAGAATAAGAGCAAAAACAAAGGTTAGAAAACAAAATTCTAGTTAATGAATGCAGTATGTGTCTTCCTTAGTGATATAGAAATTAATTAATGAATATCTTACACTGTTTGCTAATCCAGGCTTCATCAAGTCCACAGTTGACGATCTTTTATTACCTAAAAGTATAGTTCCTTCAACATTTAGACAATTATTTACAATCAATTAGTGATTTAAATATGTATATTTTTTGCCGGATCTCCTACTTTTCGCTGCTGTATGTAGTTTTTTAAATGAAATATCTTCTACAAAAAGTAAAACAAATCATCAGTAATGAAACTACAGCAGTAGTTCTAGTAGTTCCAGCGTGAATACGTTGTGTGACCACCTTGCAGTTGGAGCTTTTAAAATGATCTCTGCTTTCTTTTCATGTGACAGGAGTAGAATTTGAAAAATCCCATCATAGGGTGCAGATTCAAAATTAGATCTTTATGTATAAACTCCTGAGAAATTTGTAGAATTTGACCCTCGTAGATGACAGTATTTTTAACAGTTTTTCTTCTAATTCTGGGGACTGTTCCTTTAATTCTTTATTATATGGTTGCAGGTCAGTGAGCAGGATTGGTTCTTGACATCACCGGGTGTACATCAGCCTGATGAGTTACCTTTATATGAAATCTATTTACTGGTTACCCAAAACACATTTTTCCCGTTTGGTTGCTTTATTTCCAAATTCTCTTTCAGTAAAGTTTGGAGGGAGATTAGAAGATGTGGAATCGCATACATGAATAGAAAATGTACCTCAGCATTGGTCAACGATTGGTTTGTTGTAGCTCGTACAGACAACTAGGGGCTCAGCAACTTTAGTTAGCTTTGTTTGCTTGGCAAAGGGATATTTAACAATTAGGTTTTCATAATCCTTTAAATGGTGTGCTCATATTGCTCCGATATGACTGAGCCTCCTCCTTTTTATCATGCCGCTGGAATGCATTCTTATAACGATGCGGTTCACGTAATCCCAAAACGACTGATGCGCTTAGCATACGCCGGAGTAGACTAATAATCAAACACTGATGGAAATTCCTCCCAAAAAGTCTAACCAAATTATTTTTAAGCTCTATGAATAATGTAGAGCCTGATTTGTGTAAAGTGAAATTGAAGTGAAATTGAAGGGTATCTGTTGAGCAGCGAGCCTGCGCCACCAAATTAGCATTTTCGAGAGCATCTAGGGGTCAAGGTAATCCATCAATTTCACAGCAGACATCATTATGCCATAGATGTTATTCATGAATCCAGCACACAGATGATTAAATCAAATAAGCTGAAACAGAACTCGCCCCTGACCTGCTGTACTTTTATGTATAGTGCAGTGAAATACAGACATAGTGGTCGTCTCCACAACTGATTTGCATCATCTCAGCATCCATGTACATCCCATACGGTGTTTTGTTCTTGTGAGGCACAAGAACATCTCGGTTAGCAGAGAGAAGGACTGTAGAAATTATTGCTATATGTTAGTTCAGATGGTAGGGCTACGGTGATGTCCGTAGTCTAGTAAGGTTCCCTATAGGATGGCAATAAAATACGAGTGTGAATCTCCGTTGAGGTCTATACAGCGAATTATTTATTTATTTACATCTGTTGTGAATATACGTTTTGTCAGATGTCAAGGCCAGCTGGGCAATTTAAGAAACTCATCTTATGGATCATTTACCAGAGCGCCTATAGGACATGACAGGACGCCCGTGGTGCAGAGGAACATACTTGTGTCGTAATATATCTCCAGAGAAATGGCGCCATATGTATTCTAGTTGGTTCTAAAGCTCGCTGAGTTGCATCCAGCTCGTTCAGTGGACATTTGGTGTGAATGAGCGAGACTTTAATTATACACTGAAATCTTTTATGCATATTCATTTTGCACAAGAAAACTGGAGCTAAAAACATTAGAAATATATCGTATGTGTTGATTACGGGTCTAATCATGAACATTTGATCGAGATTCAAAGCCATAAATTATTGTGTTGTCTTTTGTATTGTAGTAAAAAAAAAAAAAACAGTCAAGGGCTGCGGCAGACATCTCTTTATTGAGAATCAGAAGTTTGTCCTCGGTACGAATGTCTTTAAATTCATTTGTTTGCCGAAACAGTTCAGCGTCAAGCAAGTCGACAAGCTAGCAAAATCTAGACAGACACATCTTTATATAACAATACAGCCAAACATACAAAAGATGTATATATCAATTACAGGTGAGGAGTTTTAATTTATATCCAGGGAGTAAACTGAGGTCATGTTTTAAATGTTTTCCCATATTTGATATAATGATTTTCACCCCGAGAGGAGATGAAATATCGATTCTTCTTCTTGCATTTTTCTTTCTATTAACAGTAACATAGACATTTTTTCCAACATGAATATTGGAAAAACATATGAACATTTTACACATACAACAAATAATATCGAGGAAGCTTCTCTCTCTGTCTGTCGTTCTCGAAGGAAACTTATTCTGTCTAACTTTAGATTCAAGTCACATAAGAAAAGCCTAATTCCCATAATTCAGTGTTTTATAAGATCTGGAGTAGGAGTACCTTTTTAAAAAATGTTTTGCATCTTCTCACACAACATTGCCCTCGTCTGAAACCTGTCCTACGTTCAGCAAAGCAGTCCACTGTAAATACATACAATCTAAATGGTGTTCTAGTGTTGCACAGGGTACGTTTTTCACCTAATGATAAAAATATCTTTTGTTTTTGACCAAATCCCACTCTTTGGAGAGTCTCAGCATGTTTCCATGCTCTTGTTTTACCTTTATTAAGAATAAAACACAGTCCCCACCTTAAAGCAGCACTATAATGTGAGTTTGTTGTTATATTGAACCATATTCTGCCCCGTGTTGTAACATCACGGCTAATTCGGTGATTATAATTTGATCTGAATTCAAACAGTGGTAATTGCTGTCCTGTCCTGCTCATTATGGTGAGTTTGGTAATACGACGGCTGTAATGACACAGCGGTTGTGTTACCAAATTAAATTCTGATTGCTTTATTCAGAAAGAGGATGTTCAGGTCTGAACAAAATGTCCTTATTAGCACCGTTTCTAATGTGCGTCTTCACAAAAGATGCTTTGAAGAGCGTTTTTTCAGAAGAACAAGTGGTGTCAAATTGTGTAACGTTATAAACAATAGGCTTGTCATAAGTCACCTCCAAAAGCCTTCAACAGAGGCTCTGAGATAAACGATAAAAGCTTCAATAAGTGGCCTTTGTCATAGTTGCTAGATGTTACGAGACCAGAATGACTTGACAATCTATAAAAGCATAATCTGTCAATTCTGCTAATAAAGATAATCTTTGTGCGAGACTGTTATATTCTCCAAATGAGCTTTGAAAGAAGCTTCAGATTTCTCTTCCCTTACATACCAGATGCTTGCCTTTTACTAGAAGTCGTACTGTGATGCGCTGATTGTGTTTTAAATATGATGTTTGGTCTTACAGTAGGAAGTAAGTATTTGTTTGATGCTTCGACTGGGACACTGTTGAATAAAAACACATCTGCATCCCCCCAATAATCAGTTGTAAACATAAAGCTTGTGTTACTAGCTCAGTGTTGATAGGAATGCACGAAAAACTCAATTTTTGTTGTTGCCTGATGGTGGATAAAGGATCAGATACATTTCATCTTCAAATCTTAAACAGTTTGCCAGAAAAGCCGTGTGAGACCTGGTCCTCTGTTGTCTCGACCAGTCAGTATCTAAAGCCCCTTGTAGTCGAGTGTGAACACCAGTAAAGAACTCTGCTCTCTTTAGATTCAAAAATCTGTCTTAAACCTTCTCAGAACACTGCCCCGTCTTTCCCTTTGTCCAGTTATGACAAACCCACCAGAGACGCCTAATAGTTCTGTTTATCCACTGTTTGATGTCAGCAGCTATCTTAGTCCTCTGAGCTGTACCAGTGCTATAACTTGCTTTCTCTTCATGTTTGTTAGGACCGCTGAGAGTCGAGACCGGCCGTATGATCACGGTGCCTATGGACATCATGAGCGTCCCGGTAGCAGTTTTGACCGTCAGCGGCACTATGAAACAGACTATTATCGAGATGCAAGGGAGAGGACTCTCAGCACGGCTGGGAGTGGGTCTGGCACCTCCAGTGGAAGCAGTACAACAGTGTCATCAGGAGTCGGTGGAACTATAGTTAGCGCCGTGGCTGGAAACACGGGAACAAGTGGATCAGCAGGAGCAACGACGGGAGGAAGCGGAGGATCCACGTCCAGTGGGGTCGGCTTCTACCGCTCCCACAGCAGGAGCCCCTGTCGCTTCGAGACACCAGAGCCTCGCTACGAGTCTCGCGCTAGGGAACCCTTTACTTTGGCCAGTGTGGTTCACAGGGACCTTTACCGGGAGGACAGGGGTCGGCGTGGGGAGCGGTCGTATCGACACAGTCGTAGCCGGTCTCCACACTCGACGCATTCGCGAAACCCCTCACCTCAGAGACTGGTGAGTCAGGCTACTCGCCCTCCACGCTCCCACAGCGGGTCAGGCTCTCGCAGCCGCTCCTCCAGTTCAGACTCAGTCAGCAGTACCAGCAGCAGCACAAGTGGCAGGTGAGTGAAGCTCAATCTGGCTGACAAGATTTCTACTCCTGTGCATGGCTGTTGTTTACATTTGTGCATCCCCGTGTGTGGCGGTCTGGATTCAAAATGACTTCCATGCAGGGAAATGGACTGAGATTTCACAGAAGGTTACTGTTTTAATAGATGTTTAATACAGTCTTAAAATAATGCCCTTTCCCCAGCATGGTCCCCATTAAGCTATGCAACTGTCTTTAAGTCAACATCAGTTTTTCCAGATTAGTGAACATGAACGTCATTGGTAAACAGGGACTTCTATCAAGAACGGTTTGTTGCTTAATATATTAAATGCAGAAGCTCTGGTTGGTAGCTATTTCAAGATAATATATTTCCTATTACTTTGTCATTATGTCTATTTATTTTGCAATCCTGTTTGGCATTTTATGGAAAACAACTCAAAGTATTTTTAAAAACAGACATTTGCTACTTTGCAGATGGACAGATTGTTTTTACTATTTGTTGATTGTTGGACGGTGGTTTCCAATAACACGGCCTAACTTGGAGCCTATTACTTCTGTTTACGACATTGTAATAGTAGTAGTATGTATGTACTTCTTGCTTCCTTCAAGGAAATTCTACTTTGCCCCTTTTTGTCTAATCATTAGCGAATTCGTCAAATTACAAGGCTATTGACGGAGTGGTTGATTGCTGGTTGGAGTCGAAGTCTGGAAAATGACCTTTGATGCATGTAACTGCTGCGATGACACACTTTTCGTGTTAAGATCTGATCTGAATTGATTTATTACTGCTCTACATACTTTGGACTGGTGCACTTTGCTTAGACTCCTTTTACTGTGAGAGTTGTTTCTGTTTTTTAATATGCATCCGTCATGCAGCTTACACACCACCATAGATGCGGAGCTTACATTCCGATTATTTCTTCAGAATGCTTTGGACAAAACACTTGTTTGTCGTCCAAGAAACTCTGTGAACGAAGTAGTATTTAAATTTTAAAAATATGACAAGGGTTTGGTTGCTGGTGAGGTCTTACACACCCAAGTGCTATCCTTTGGTGGAGTCAGCTGCATGCAACAGCCAAAATTAATGCCATAATTGCAGTGTATGTATGTAATTCAGATGTGTTCCAGGCGTGCTGTGAGAGCGGTTTTAACTCTGCTGCTAGAAACAATTGTTCAGCATTGCAAACAGTGGCGGTTGGTTTTGTCGTGCCAGTGAATGTGGTTTGTTTAGAATTCGATATGCTAATTCAGTCGTTTTGTGCAGAGCTGTGTGCTACATCTCCCATTGCAATTATGTCCTCTAAGATTCTAAATGCAAAAAAATAACAAGATTAGATGAGTCAGTTGTGGGGTAACTCTGCAGTGGGGGATTTACTCCATAAACGCACCCCTCTCCGGTTGTTTGTTTCGTGTCTCACTGCATCACCTTTGGACACGGCACCGTCCGTGGCTCTGAATAACACGTAGCGACACATGTGGTCTGACGAGGAAGTGCTACGGGGGGAATTTCAGGAGACGGCTGCTATATTTTTCTCACTGCCTACCTCGGTGTATGGGCAATGGCTCCCCCCCTCCGTGAGATCCAGTTGGAACTGGAAATTTCTGGCCAGTGCTGGCTGCCTGCCCACTCCCACAGGCCAGGCTCCGTCAGCAGCACTTCCGGGAGTGTCTGAGCGCAGGAGGAGAAAGTGAGAAGGAAACAAACAGCAGAGGGCCTAGAAAGCTGAGACAGACATGGGAATCGCTTGAGAAAAAAAGGTGCACGAGGCTACCGTGCGTTCGCCACTTGCCAGATGCACCACGTAAATGTGAAACCAGGAGTAAAGGGGTGTGTTTCTACGCCGCAGATGAGAGACGGTGCATTTTTTAAACAGCAGAATGAGCCGTTCAAACCACATGCAGTCCATCTAGCCTTCCTCGTTTGAAGCTCAGATGAAGCACATTATTTCACCTTCACGTCAGTGTTTACAGACATCATAGTGGAGCTGGTCTGAAGAGCAAATTCTGGTCTCCGGGTATTCGGCCCAATTAATGACGAATATCCTGAATATTTGGGGGCAGGGGCGGGGGGCTGCTGCGTGGTGGTGGTGGCAGGTAAATATTCGGTCCGACGGGGCAGGAGTGAGCGGGCGTTTCCACCATCAGTGGCAGTGGGGAATATTCAAATTGCTATCCCAACACCAGCACCGAATAATTGGATATTCGGCAATTCGGGTCCAGCTCTGTATAATAGTAGCTCGGTTTAAAATACACCATGTATGTATACCGTACATAATACATAACATGTATTACTGAGTATGAACGATTTTTCAGGGCCAGATCATGTCGGGCGTAACACACTCCTTTAGGTTTGTTGAATTAGTCTACATCAAATATTAGATCATATGAAATGATGATTGGTAAGTTAATGCAGCAACAGGACACAAATAACAGGCTTTTAACCACAAATCTTTAGATGAAACTGCGAGGTTTGCTTCGACGGCTAAGCGTGTGTTCCTCTTTTACTACAGTGATTCCAGCAGTAGCTCGAGTGACGACTCTCCGGCACGCTCGGTGCAGTCTGCTGCTGTTCCTGCACCCTCAGCACTTCCTTTATCCTCCCTTGACAAGGATGAACCACGTAAAAGCTTTGGCATCAAGGTCCAAAATCTTCCTGTGCGTTCTACAGGTTAGTTGTGTGACGCTCCAGCAGTGTGTGAGCACAAAAAGCTTTTTTATGCATAAACTAATATCCATGAATTTAAGGCAATTTAAAAAAATATATATATATACCAATAGTTTATTTCTTAACATATTACTTTTTCATTTTTTAAAATTAATTGTACATTTGATTGGTTTCCTTCAGATACAAGCCTAAAGGATGGTTTGTTCCATGAATTTAAAAAGCATGGGAAGGTCACATCTGTACAAATCCACGGAGCTTCAGAGGAGCGCTATGGGCTTGTCTTTTTTCGCCAGCAAGAGGACCAAGAGAAAGCACTTGGAGCATCAAAGGGGAAGCTTTTTTTTGGAATGCAAATTGACGTCACAGCCTGGAATGGCCCTGGTACGTACTACTATTTAACTCTATTTGAGGAAAACATGAATCTTGTCAAATCCAAAAGCTCATACTCGGCACTTTTCAGAGACAGAAAGTGAGAACGAGTTTCGACCACTGGATGAGAGGATTGATGAGTTTCATCCAAAGGCCACAAGGACATTATTTATAGGAAACCTGGAGAAGACCACTACTTACCATGACCTACTTAACATCTTTCAGCGGTTTGGAGAAATAGTGGTAGGTTATTGATGTGAAGTGGTTGCGAATCAGACCATGTGCAGTGGTTACCATGCTGCACACTTTGAGATGGTCATGTGTACTGACAAAGTATTTTTTGTTTTCATTTTCCCCACAGGATATTGACATTAAGAAGGTGAATGGAGCCCCACAGTATGCCTTTCTACAATACTGTGACATTGCTAGTGTCTGCAAGGCCATAAAGAAGATGGATGGGGAGTACCTTGGTAACAACAGACTAAAGGTAAGACTTACATTGATTTAATTCTAAATCTTGCTTTACACCATTACCACATTCTTGTGTTTCTTAATCAAACATAGTATTATGTATGAGAACTATTTCTATGAACTGTTAAAAGATAAGAGAACTGCCATTTGACATTTTATTCTTTCTTTTTCAGCTGGGCTTTGGAAAGAGTATGCCTACGACCTGTGTTTGGTTGGATGGATTAGCATCAAACACAACTGAGCAGTTTCTGACTCGTCACTTCTGCCGCTATGGACATGTTGTCAAGGTAAACTTGTTTTATTTTTCGTTATCATAGTTGCCCTTTGTTCACTTTGTGGAACCATGGGACTCTAATTTTCTTTCCTATGTGGTTCGCAGGTTGTTTTTGACAGGATGAAAGGAATGGCCCTCATTCTTTACAACAACATTGAATATGCTCAAGCTGCTGTCAAAGACACAAAAGGCTGGAAAATAGGGGGCAGTAAAATTAAGGCAAGCTAAAATATTGCTTTACTCTGAAATGATGTTATCCAATATCTATGTTCTCAGAGGTTGATGGTCTGTGCCATGGCAACTGACTTGCCTGTATTTTCTTCAGGTGGACTTTGCAAATCAGGAAAGTCAGATGGCTTTCTATCGTTCAATGCAAGCGTCTGGGCAGGATATTCGCGACTTTTATGATATTCTCTCTGAAAGAAGGTTTGTGCATTTGACTTAAAGAACAATAGTTTTGCCTCTGTACTGTCTATGACTGAAGCTAAAATAATTTTGTGTTGTTTCTCGGCAGGGAGGATCGACGAACCCAATACGAGTTTCAAGCAGAAAGACAATATTATGAAAACGTACGAACACCAGGAACATATACTGAGGATCCACGGCGTAAATACCCTGCTAGAAGTCGGGAGTTCTACACTGAATGGGACCCATATCAGGGAGATTACTATGATGCACAGTACTTTGAAGACCCTCGGGAATATCGGGAATACAGAGCTGACCCTTATGAGCAGGACATTCGCAAATACAGCTATTTGCAGCGAGAACGTGAAAGAGAGCGGGAGCGCTTTGAAACAGATCGTGGACGTGATCATGGGAGGAGGACCATTGAGCGTAGCCAAAGCCCGTCTCACATGACCACTCGTCGTCCTGCTAGCCCCACTGCATCTCCTTCTCTCTCTGAGAGGATACCAAGTGATTCAGACCGACGTATTTGTTGTCGATCATCTGAAAGAAGCGGCAGCTGCAGTTCAATCTCTCCACCCAGATTTGAAAAACTTGAAAAGACACGCTCTGAAAGGTATATTAAAACTGAAAAACTTGAAAAGGATCGAGTTTTTGAAATTGAAAGAGCGAATTTAGTTGAAAAGGACAAGAGGACTGGACGAAAAGATCGAGGGGACAAGGAAAAAAGTGAGAAACAGAGACTGAAGAAGCTTAAAGTTGCATCACCTATTACACAGACCTGTGAGACTGAACCTGAACTTGAAAGAGATGTTAGCCCTGAGTCTGTTCTTCGAAGTAAGACCAGTAAAATCCCAAAGGAAAGCTCGAGCAAAGGAAGGTTAGACCTTCTTCCTTGTGTGGTGCAGTTAACACGTGTTAAAGAAAAGGAAGGAAAATTGATCGGTCATGCTGTTCAAGAAAAACAAATACAGAGGGGTGGGAGTGACAGTCCTAGACTGGCATCACCTACAGCTGACCAGAGGAGTCCTCCATTCCGCACAGAATCGTCAAAAGGTGATATCTCTAAGCACGGAAAGGCGCCCAGAGACAAAAATGTGCACAGTTTAGTGGAGATCACTGACAAGGATGGTAAAATCAAATCCAAAAAACATGGGAAATCTGAAATGGAATTTGACAGTGGTATTTCTGTGGATATTGACCGTTTAGCTGCAAGGAAAAGACGTTTTGAAGACTCTGGGAAAACTGACAGACAAAAGAGAAGCAGTGAAGAAGACCTTGGTAGACCTGGACTTTATAAACTGTGGAACAATACAAAGGAGACAGATTTGGATAAGAATCTTTTGCTAAGAGGTTTGCATAAAAAGGAGCACCACAAGGACAAATGTGTTCGCATGGTTTCAGTTAACAGTCCTAAAGATGGACGAGACTGTGAAAGCAACTCCATGGGCCTTCCTCTGCAACGACAGTCACAACTTGACGAGCTGCCTGAAGGTACTACCGATCAGTTAGACTCTTCATACCTCAAAATGGATTTAGAGGGCTCAAAAAGTGAAAACAGCTCCAGTCTCACAAAGATGTCTGATGATTGTAGCCTTGATTTGGATGAATTAAAAGAACAACAGAAACAGGGTTTGACTGAAAATGAACAAGGGAGGGGGAAATGCAGAGACTCTGATGACGGAGAAGAACACTTTGTGCACATTGACCAGACCAATATTTGCACAAAGCAGAATGAACAGAGTCGATGGCTCCGATCCAAACTTGGCGATCCTGATAAGGTAGTCAAGTTTGAAAACCCACCAAACAATGAGACTCATGATTTTGAAAAGGATTACATCCTACATGATGTTGGAAAATCAATTCAGGATATGGCCAGTGAAGACTTTTCTTGGTGTAAACGAAAAAAATTAGAGAATTTTGACTTTGAAATTCTCAGAGTAAAGAGAGACCGCAACTTTGCAGGTTCCCAAAAGCTGAGTGAAGACATATACAGTATACCATCTTCAATAGGAGCTGGTCAGTTTTCTGAAAACGAAGAAGATGAAACTGCCCAGATTTCTGTGTCAGTTACAAACAAAGTCAGAAAATCCTCTCCAATGACAGATGATAAATTTTCACACACAGAGTCATTGAAGAACAGCTTGGGCCTGACAGGCAGACATTTTCAGTCACCTGACAACGAGCTCCCAAAACGTAAGACATCCTTGCTCGGATGTGATGAGGAGTTAATGCAACATTGGGAAAGAAGGATAAAGTCTGATTCACTAAGAATGGAAATGACATTCCCTAGTGATATTTCAAAACGTGAAAGCATCCGCAAACGCCTTGGCCAGGACTTGGAACCTGGAGAGGTGCAGTCTGATTCAGATGATGATGGAGAAAGCAAACATATCTCTCCCAAGTCCAGTAGTTCCTTGTCTTATATCCTCAGGGACCGTGACGAGAGGATGACGGACCTGAAGCTCTCAGGCTCCTTGGAAAAGAACAAGTTTTACTCATTTGCTTCAGATAAAACAATAACTCCTGATACAAAGGCACTCCTTGAACGAGCCAAGACATTGTATTCATCAAGGGAAGATAACTGGTCCTTTCTTCCTTCGCGCTTTCCAGCCTCCCACAGCTGTTCTGATAAGGACAAGGTAGAGTTAGCACCTCGACCTATTCCTTCTTGGTACATAATAAAGAAAAAGAGTCGTACTGACTCTGATGAAAAGCTGCATGATAAAAAGGAAGAACTTAAACCGCAGGACCAAGAGCGCCAGGAATTGTTTGCCTCCCGTTTCTTGCACAGCTCAATCTTTGAACAAGACTCCCGCCGTTTGCAGCATCTTGAACGTAAAGACCAAGATTTAGAAACTGGAAGTGGAAGGCCCTTTACTAAGCCAGGTGCTACTGAGGCACAGCCTGAATCAGGAGGAGGTGACATCCCACAAGAGCCCATAGTGCTTTTCCATAGTCGCTTTTTGGAGCTTCAACAACAAAAAGACAAGGACCATTCCCCACCCGATTCTGAGAACGATTCAATCGTTGTGGAGATTAAAAGAGATGAAGTTCAGAATTGTGATAATCTGATGTCTAACAAGGAGTCTGAGCTAGTACTGAAGGCTGATGATAAATCAGCCACCTCCCCAATAACCTGGACGATTGCACCGTTTGTGCCCTTCCCAAAATTACTGTCTTCACCGGAAAAGAGAGAAGTTCTGACTCCATCCTCAGATCAGCCTGTGTCATTTGTCAAAGAAGAGAAAGTGGAGCCAGTTCTTGAAGTATCCTCATCTCATGCGCTTCCTGTGGAAGACTTCAAAGCAGTTGCTCCTAAGCTAACCATAACGCCTGCATTTGTCCTTACAGAACCAGAACATGATGTTGAAACAAAAGCAGAACTAATTGAACCCAAATTGAAATGTGGTGATAATTTGACAGTGGAACGTAACTTTGCTGTTGAAGATGAGCCTCTCACTCCTGGTGGTTCCTTCAGTGGTTTTGAAAGAGAGACTACAGAATTTGCTTACTCTGACTGTTCAAAGATTGAAGAAAAATCAGAAACTGATAAGACAGAACCTGAAATTGAAAACCAGGAAACAAAGCACTTTGAGGAATCTCAAAAAACTGAGACGGACAGCGAGGCATGTATGCCTCAGCTAGAGGCTGAAATAAAACCATTACCAAACCGCAGACAGCCAAAGAGTAAAAGGGCGAAAACTTTGTCAGTACTGCGTACTACACAACCTTCCCAAATTGTCTCTGCTGAAAAACCTGCAACACGAAAGAGTGAACGGATTGATAGAGAGAAACTCAAAAGGGCCTCATCCCCTCGAGCAGAAACACCGAAAATATCATTTGAGTCTAAAACCACATCTAAGTCACCAATACATGCTTCAGATTCTGAACAAAATCTTGAGTCAAGTTTAATCCATGGGAGAACTCGTCGGAGGAATGTGAGGTCAGTCTATGCCACGCTACACGAAGATGACCAAGGTGGCAAAGAGGTAGTTGAGTCATCACGCTGCATGCGCAAACGGGCTGCTGACAGAGAACCAATACAGCCAGAAGTTCAAATTTCTACCAATGCCAGGCGAGGACGCCCACCTAAGAGAGGTGTCAAACGAAGTGAAGATGCATCACCAGTGAAAGTGGATCAGAAGAAAATTATGGAAGAAGACACAGAGGTCAAAGAGGCCTCAAGTACTGTAGAGGCTGTGAAAGCCTCTGAGGGATGGCGTTCACCTCGCACTCAGAAAGTTCAACAGTCACCACTAACTTCATCTGCTCCAGTTAACAAGAAAGGAGGTAGAATAGACAAACCATCTGGGAGCACAACACTGCTAGCTGAACAAGCTGATATGGCAAGTCATGATGAGTCTGACCTTAAGCCTAAAGCTGATTCTGAACTGTTTGGCAAGTTATCAGAAAGAGTGGAAAACTCTAGCTCACCAGTGCATAGAAAAGAAAAAGATTTAAAAGAATCTGGAGGAAAGAAATCTGCTGATGAAGATATTGAAAAGATAGATACAAGCTCCTCTGAGAGGAGACAACAGGCTGAAAAGACTGTTAAAATAAAAACTCCAAGGTTGAAACGAAATACCAAGCAGCTCCCTGAAGAGAAATCACACAGTTTAAAAAATCTTGAGATCCGTGTAAGTGTTGATGACGTAAAAGGTTTACTTCGTTCAGAGGATGATGAATCTGAGACTTTTGAAGGTGCTACTATAACAAAAACCAAGACGGTAGTACAAGAAAGTGAAGGAACAAAGATAATAGGCTTTCCAAAAGAATCCAAAGAGCTTGGTACACAGGAGAAAGAAGATATGCTTTCAGAATCTGAACTACCTGCGGACCCAGCTGCACTATTGGCACGACAGATGGAACTAGAGCAGGCAGTTGAAAATATTGCCAAACTTACTGTTGAGCAACCTCCTCGACCATACAAGGAACCACCTTCAGAGCCACCTGCTGTACTGCCTCCTGTCATAGTCGAACCAGAAAGTGAGGTTGAGGAGGAGAAGCGGGCAAATCCTGCAAGTGAAACTGAACTTGCAGCTGCCATTGATTCCATAACAGCTGAAGAAACATGTGGAGATGCAGATGGGTTTACATCGCCTCCGACTTACACTGCTCTTGTTCCGACTCCTGAATCCCTAATATCATCCTCCTCCTCCAATGAGATTATGGAACCTGAAACACACATGGTGATCAACAATATACTTGCAGGGGACTTAGATGATAGCCCTTTAACACCAAGCCCAAAAGGTCTAATGGCAGAGTCTAAGTCAGCTGAAGAACCCATTCTAGTTGAAACACCCAAGAAAACAGGCAAAGTTAGAGCCAAAACCCCGAAGAAGTCGAGAAGTCGCAAAGGTGCAGCTAACAAGAAAGGGGATGCTGCTGAAGAGGTATTACAATCAGAGCCTTCCCCAGTCAAGTTACCTGAGTCAATCCCAGAGGACCCAGAAACCATTAATTCAAAAGCAGTTACTGTTACAGCTGGGGCAACTGCAGCAGCTTCTGTGGTCACTGCTGTTGCAACTTGTAGGCGTGACGTTACAAGTGCTATAACTGTAGACACGCCCAAAGAGGCAGAACAGCCAGAAGTTGAACAGCCTGTACCCAAAGAATCGGCCTTTCATTCAGGCACAAGCAACAACTCCAATTCTAAAAAGCATCCCCAAGCAGCAGAACCATGCACTCCTACGTTTGCTCCTCCTGCTCGCCCACAACATCTGTCCCAGTTTAGTGTACCCTTGCTGCGGCCTGCCAAAATGCCACTTTCACCTGACTGGCCTCAGAGATCTGAAGAAAGCAGAATCTATGTTGCTCCTTCATGTCATGTCACAGTGGTGACTCCTTCTATACCAGCATCAACTGCACTTGGCACTACTTCAGCAAATCCTCCAATGCCCCCTGACACCAAGGCCTCTGATATTGACCCTAGTTCAAGCACCTTAAGAAAAATCCTAATGGAACCTAAGTATGTGTCTGCATCAAACAGCAATTCTATACCTACCACTATGGTCACATCTGCATTGCCAGATCCTTCACGGATGTCAGAGAATGAAAATCCCTCTGATACAGTGGTTTCAAGACAGTTACATCCTGAAGAGAGACCTCCATTACCACCCCAGCCCATACACCATAAACCATCTCCACTGACAGAGTCTCAACAGAACTGTGGAGACAAGACCCAGCATACAGTTATTTCTCCTGCTACCTCAGTAATAAGTCGAATTCCAATGCCTTATGATACAGAAGAAACTCCACGAATTTCCCTTAGCAACCGAAGCATTGGCCTATCCATTCCCAAGCAAAAATTTAGATCCAACTCAAATGAGAATAATCGCTGCCATGGCATGGATATAGTAGAGGGTAGTGCGAGAGGGCGCTCTGTTGTGGAGACCACTCCCTATAATGCAGGCACCAGTCCTGGCCTAAGAGTCATTACATCAGAGGGTGTTGTTGTTCTCAGTTACTCGGGTCAGAAAACCGAAGGACCTCACAGGATGAGAGCCAAAATCAGTCAAATTCCTCAAGCCAGTGCTGGTGATATTGAGTTTCAGCAGTCTGTGTCCAAATCTCAGATAAAGCAAGACCCGCTCATCACATCATCCCAGTCACCTACAGCAAAAGTAACCCCAACTCCCTCAGCTTATGGGCACACAGGTGTTCTTTTGACTGGACAGTCCTATAACTCTCAACCGGTCATTTCCAGTACCAAGCAGGAGAGCCTTGGATGTGACAAATCTGAAGCTCCATATCACACAGCATCCCAGGGTGGTGTGGTGAAGATGTTTCAACAGCCAGTTAGTTCCCCCCAAGTCTTGATGTACAACCAAGCTGTGATACAACAGCAGCATGGCAAGCGAGGGCTGGGGACAGAACCTCTACCAAAAAAGATGGACATTGGCAAAGCTGTCCAGCAGTCTAACCTTAGCCCCGTCATGAGTCCCCACCACCCGTCACTTTCTGGAACCCGCATGAGCCCCAGCCCAGGCATTGCAAATGATCGGTCAACTCTACACCTCAAGCAAGAACCCCAGTCTCCACGAACAGCTGTTCACTCTCCTTCACCCTTTGTCAAAGCCTGTCCTCCGAGCAGTTCGCCTATCGGAACTTCTGTTGTTCTGGGTCACAGCATGCCACCAATGTCTACTTATCATTCTAGTATGCATCATTCACATGCAGAACAGTCCTCTGTCATAATTCAGCCTCACAGTGTCACTCAGTCAATGGCTCATGAAGCCAGAATGAACACCCCACCAATATCTGGGATAAATTATGGAAGGCGAGGCGATTCCCTTTCTTCACCCCACCCAGGACCCCCACAGCGCTCAAACACGCCGCAGCCTAATGTCATTCGTGATATGGTACTCCAGTCTCATTCCAGTCCCCAAGGGTCAGTGTCAGGTGGAGGTGGCAACAGTGTAAGTGAAGAGGAGCCCAGACATTTTAACCAAGCCCTTAGTAGACCTTCGGTTTCCCAGCTCCAGTCCGATGTAATGATGATTCACAGTGATCACAGAGGGCTCCACCCAAGCATACGCATGGACCAGTACAGAGATATGCACCAGCGCATCCTCATGCACCAGCAATTGGGAGAGCAGGCTGCTGTGGAGGCAAGACAGTCACGCAACTCGGAGACGGGAGCAACGTCTTCAAGCAGCATCTCTGGGCCTTCAAAGAGTCCTATACTGGGAAAGACCATAGAGCTTTCAACAAAAGAACCTCTTAAACCACTAGAAGGAAAGCTGATACATCCATCCTCCAACGAAAGTAGAATCCGGGGAGTCCATGCATCCAGTCCTGTCATGGTGTCTCCCCACCCTCATGGAGTTCAGCTGATGCATCCTGGAGGTGCAGGCTCCTTTCCGGTTTATCGGGACATGCGGGGCTTCCCATCCCAGTTTCCAGGACACAACCTGGCTAACCAAGGCATTACATCTTCACAGGTTACTTGATATGCTTTTATTATATGTGCAAATACTTAAGCAATTTTATGTAGCACCAAGGTATAATTGTGTTTTTAGGTGAAGGATCACATTTATATACACATGCAAAATTTGTATTGATCTTTTATTTTGTTATTTATTTTTTTATTCAGGTCCCTCCAGAGCCTGAGCTGGGTAACAGGGGTAAAATGTCTCAGTCACACGGGGGAGGAGGTGATTCCAAGCCTGAGAGCTCCCATCTTCGCCACGCTACCTCTTCGGACCTCTCACACATTTCCAGAATAACAGGGGATACAGTCTCGCCCTCATACCAGTCTCCCATGATGTCTCCTATGGGTCTTGCTCACAAGCCAGATCTGTCTTTACAGAAAGGCCCTCCAGCCTTCCTCCCTACTCCCCCAGCACTACCCCCATCGAGTTCACTACAGCCACGGTCTGATGCTAAGCTGGAACATTCAGGACATCGTTCCATTGACATGGTGCAACTTTTGACGGTAGGAAGATTGATAGACCAGCAGTGTATATGTACATGGAATGCATTTTCACGACAATACCAAAAAGATTATATGCTCATAAACACTTGTTGTGTTTCTTCTGTGCAGAAATATCCTATTGTATGGCAGGGCCTGTTGGCACTGAAAAACGATCAGGCTGCCGTCCAGTTGCACTTTGTTTCTGGCAACACCATGCTGGCCCAGCGCTCCCTGCCACCCCCAGAGGGAAGTTCTCTTCTCCGCATTGTCCAGAGGATGAGGCTCGAGGCTTCCCAACTGGACAGTGTGGCGCGCAGAATGACTGTGAGTATTTTGTTTTTACTACCTCTTAACAGCTTATTCTATACCTCGTGTGAACATATTTTATGAAAGTCATCAGTATGAAGAACTTGTTAAAGTACATGGATTACACCACATTACAGTATTGCAGTTATCTTTGTTCTAGGGTTGTGTTCTTTGTTTACATTTATGACCAAAAATTATTACTCTGGCAGGTGGAAAATGACTATTGTTTGCTCCTGGCTCTACCCTGTGGTCGAGACCAAGAAGATGTCCTTGGTCAAACCCAAGCCTTGAAGAGTGGCTTCATCACCTACCTGCAAGCCAAACAGGCAGCTGGCATCATCAATGTGCCCAACCCTGGCTCCAATCAGGTCTGTGGTCATTTTAACTTCTTCTGTCTTGCCTTCTTCAAGGTTGCCCCTGTGTCATAATGAAGTACTGTGTCATAAAGACGTTGTTTCCTATCTCATCACTTTTTTTTTTGTTTTTGTATATACAGCCAGCTTATGTGGTGCAGATTTTCCCACCCTGTGAATTCTCGGAGAGCCACCTTTCACGCCTGGCCCCGGACCTTCTCAACAGCATCTCCAGCATTTCCCCTCACCTCATGATTGTTATTGCCTCTGTTTAATTACCTTCATATTTTTCCAAACAAAGCCAACACCAGCCCTTTTGGACTCATCCAGTTTGTAAACTGGAATTGCCTCATATTTTTATGAGTTTGACTTTTTTTAGAAAAAAAATCTCATTTAGCATGAGCTCACCTTTTCTCCTTCACTTCACCAAGTCCTTAAGTCACCCAGTGATGATGAATTCCAAAAACTCTACCTTTACGCGGAGGATATGAAGGGTCGAACGGGAATTTTTGACGATCACTTCTGATTGCTCATTTCATTTTTGCCATTTTTGGAGGTGTTGTGCATAGCCTTTTCTAATTCATAGCATTCATAAAGCTATGGATGGAGACCTTCCAATGGGATATTTTTTACCTTCATAAAAGTGATTGTGATTTCTTTTTTTTCCCTTTTTTTTAAGACAATGTGAGAAGTCATTGCACTATGTTAAGCAAAAATTGTGAACTCTGTACAGATTTGAGTATACGATGATACATGTTATGGAATTATTCTCGTGATCAGTCATGCTTGTGCAAGATAATAGAAAATCACTGACTGGAAAATGATCAACAATCATTTCAGCCTGATCGATCATCCTGCTTTCGCTCCGCCACCATCAGCAAATTTCTACTTCATTCCCGGACTCAACTCTCCATCCCGAAGTGTTCCCTGCCCCAGGAACACGTGAGGGGACGTTTAGAGTTGTACAGTTTACACTCAATGCCTCAACAGGGGACTATATAAAGAATATTTAATTTGTTTATTTTTGTTTGCATCTTCTTTAAACCTAAGGGTATTGTGGACAATTGTGAAACTGTAAATATTATAAATATTTAAAGACTGAAGCAATGTGGAGAGACCAAGTGAATTATTTTACACGACAGATCATCAAATCTTTCTTTCTTTCTTTCTGAAGGGGCAAGAATGGGCAACAGTGAAAAGGATCTGTACAGGATCCCTGAGTGATGTTCTATAAAAAAAAAAATGTTCATTGATTATGTGCCAAAATGTCTTTTTGCAAATGCTAAACACGCGCAATGTATCTAAAACTACATTTGATGGGAACCTATTTTCATATGTGACTTTGTATTTTGTCATTCAAAGGACAGACTTGATTCCTTTTTTTTGGTATTGTTCATCAGCCCGGTTCTGTTACGACAGTGCTTTTACGTTATGAAAGCGTAACTTCTTTTTGAAGGAGCTGTTGTACTGTCGGGGTTGCGTTTCTCTTATGTATTCCTGTTTTCCTTCTCCCCTATGTGGTCCTGTACTGCCCCCTGCTGACAGAAAATCACTTTTAATTTTTTTTTGAAGACTGCACCCTGAGGTCATTGAAGTGCAAATTTCGTGCCAGATGTGCTATAGCATGCTTTATTTTGAAATCTTAAAGGGTAAAGTAGGATCATAAAGGCAAAGAATGTGACTTAAACTTGACATCATGCCGCTAATGGATGTGTTTATCATCTGTCTCCATCCCTCCCCTTAACTGTCTTCTTGAGCCAAGCTGTAAATAATAATGTCCTTAATCTGTGCTCTTGTGTATTTTTCCCATTTATAATTGTCTTTCTTCAGGGTCTTTATTTTTGTTTTGTGCAACAAAACAAAGCAGTCTGAAAGAGACGGGAGATGAGGTGTGTGAAACCGATGCTGAAAGTAAAACCATGCTTGTCAGTTTTGTGGTGTAAATATTTGTATGACTGCAAGCTGAATACTCTCATGGTTATGTTGAAGGCACTTATAATTTTGATAAACAAATTAGAAGAAAATACAAAAAAAAAAAAAAAAAAGCCCAATCTTAAAACGGTGATTAATATGAAAACTGTCTTTTGATCAATCTTCATTTTGAGTGTATTTTGCTGTTCCTCCATGAGGACATTTTAAACTGTAAAATAAATGGTTGTTTAACTTACTTCTGAAGATCATTAAATGGTCCGTAACTCTCTGTCTGTGCTTTTGTGATTTGTGAAGCTGAAGACGCTCCGATGCAAACCGGTGAAGGAAGGTTTCTCTTACTGCAGTCTGTGATCTGCAGGATCCGACCTGTTCAGTGTCTTAATGCTGTATTTTCCTGCCTCAGCAACGTTTTCCAAGGATGCAACAGTTTAAATAGTCAAAATTCTTTACTTTGCATGTCATCGCGTTCTGTGCTGCAGTTTTTTCCACCATCAGAAGATGTCAGTATTTGACTTCAGTACAAACTGAGCTTCCAGATGTGATGCCGTTTTAGAAGCTTGCATCCGGCAAACAGAGGAAACGGTTTGAATTTGCAATAGAACAGTTTGTTGTTGGATGTGGTGGTCCTGACTTTTTCCTAACGTAGCTGAGTTTCCCAGAACATAGTTATCATTTCTCCATACCTTCTGAATTGGAATGTGTCAAAGAGAGATGTGCTCTATAGGAAGCAGAGTTTGCAAAGTCCTAAAAATACCTCCAAGCATGTAAGTTGCGTTCGTTTACAGGCAGCAAAACTGTAGTTTAACAACTGTGGCCTGCTGCAGAGGGACTGGTGGTGGATCTTGTGTGCATAAACATGTCTCTTGTTGTCTCACTGTATCTGTACTGTTGCACGTATTGAGGATGCAGGTCATGTCCTCTTGCATAATGATTACACAGAAGTGCTGATAAAAACTGACTTCAGCATTTCTCTACATGTAAGCAAAACAGGTGTGCAGAAGAGAACATTCAAGATTTTCTAGCAGTGCACTTTAGCATCATATTAAAAGTGATGTGATAACGCCTCAGAGTCTTTAGCTGAATGTTCATTCAAGCAGCAGTGATGGAGAACTGTCAGACGAAGGCGTCCTGCAGCACATGGTCCACTCAGAGGCTGATTCCAGCACTGGGAGGTTCAGCTCTGAAGCTCTGGATCGGCTTTCCTCTTTCAGTCCTCCACTGTGAAGGAAAACCTCAAGACGCATTACATGTATTTAATGCTTTTGTATTGTATATTTATTTTGTTTTACGAATTGATTTCAAAAGTTTTCATTCTGACTTGTGTCTTGATTTTATTGCACATATTCTTGTTGTCTTGTTTGTGTCCAGCACTTAGTTCAACTTGTGTTAAAACATGCTGTGTATAAATAACCTTGATCTGATGTGATTCAGTCAGTCCATGAAGAGACAGACGACACTGACGCAGCCTAAATTCCAGCGGTGGACCAAGTATTCAGACTCTTTATTCATTTAGGATTGCCAATATAGTGATGAAAAAATGCTTCAGTCCCAGTAAAAGTAAGTACGAGCAGCAGAATGTGGTAGAAATCCTGGTTTGGTCCCGTTGACTGACATGTTATTATATGTGGCATGATTAGATCAGCATGTTCTCCCCGTGCAGCGTGGGTTCTGTCCAGGTTCTCCGGCTTCCTCCCACAGTCCACAAACATGCTGAGGTTAATTGGTGATTGTAAATTGTCCGTAGGTGTGAATGTGAGTGTGCTTGGTTGTAAGTGTAGCCCTGTGCAGCGCTTAGAGTAAATGTACTTTCCACCATATATGCTCAGAACATCCCACCTGCTTGACAAACTGTACAGGTGAGGAGAATTAGTTCTGTTTTAAAGGCTGCTCGTTGCAAATATTGTTCTGATTTTGCGTTTCTGTTTTGTGCACCGTTACTGAAATCATCCTCACGACACTTTTAGTTTCTAAAAAAGTTGCACAGTTTTGTTCATGAAGTGAAAACATGGACGTCACTGACAGACTCTAAAAGTGTCTCTGCAGCTCAGTTTTAGGAGCAGCACTCAAACGGATATGGAGCACCATGACTGTCAGAGCTGCAGCTACAGTCTCATCCCCCGAGGCAAAACAACTTTATGGTTTTGGGAATTTTAAGACTGTGGCTTGAACATTAGGGTTTCCGGCTGCACCCGTCCAATTCAAGTACGCTAGCCGGCAGATTCCCCAGAGGGAGGCCTGCTGGGATTTAGTGGCGATTGGAATTATATTTGGGAACATTCGGTGGTCAGGGCTGAAGTATCTTTCATTAGTTTTGGAAGTATGCTCCTCAGAATGCAAATAATCAGAATCAAAATACAGGCAGGCTGTGAAGAGACACCCGGTAACACAGCCTCGCGTTATAGTTTTTTATCTTTATAACTCTGGTGTGATGCAGCAGGTCAATGCTTCCCGTTAAAAAGGACGACAGCTGCAGCTACATAAGCTGGTGAGACGAGTAAAGAGAGCCATGCCTGTGCTTTGCTCGTTTTCTCTTTCCTGTCATTATGCCTACAGTAGAAAGAAAGAAAGGAGTGTGACCAGAAGAGGTGAAGCACAAGTGATTTATGGTGCCCTGACAGGCCAAGACTTGGAATGTTAATTGACACCCTGCTCTCATCGTGAGAAGAAGCAGATCAGACTGGTACATGGCAGCGAAACGCCAAGACAAAGAAGACTTCCGCTGGTGCCGCTCCCCCCTTCCTTCAGATTCATAGCTCTTCTAAGATTACACACTTTGCCTGTGAGCGACGAAGCCGAGTCGAAGAGGACTCGTGAGCTCGTGTCCTTCCAGTCGACCTCATTCATATTTCTGAGCCGCTCTCCTCCTGAATTCTTTTCCACAAGATGACATTTTTAAAGCTCGATTTTAGCCAGAAAATGAGAAGAATGTTGAAAATTTAGAGGTTCTTTTTTCAGACGCTGATAAGTGCTTGTTTTCTGGTTTGTGTCTTTTTGGCGTTGAGCTTCCTGCATTCCTCGCTGGTGTCGAAACAATTTGTCCTACATGAGAACGCAGAATCAAGCAGCTTGGATGGGAGAAAAAAAACTCTTTTCTAATCACTTTGCTGCACCTTTTTAAAACTGTTTGAAGTTAATTTTCAAATCGCCTTCAGCCAGTCGTGCTGCTCTCATCCGGTGGCCTGAATCGCGCTGGAAGGAAGTCCAGAAAGCAACAAGATGCTTGATTACGTGGCTGCTCTTTGAAGTTAAATGTGAGATGCATCAACACAGCGATGGTCCAAGTGCTGTAAACATCAGTTTCGACCAGCACACGCCTGCTTTTCTTCAAGCATTCATAAAGTGACAGTGCAGAGGAAGCTAACAGGGTTTCACAGAGAACTTGTGATGGTGGTTAGAAGCCTGTGAAGGCCTGAACCTTTAGCACCAGGAGCTTCAGCGTTCCACCTGTAGAAAGTGCTGCGATGTGCTTCGTCTCCACGGCGCTGGGAGCCTGAAGCAGCGCTATGATTTGTTGCAGAGATTTGGAGGCTATTTACATTCGTGCGGGCTTCTTTGTGGACGCTGACTTCCTCATACGATGCTGAGGTTTGGGCTGTTAATTGCAGCTGTTAGTTGTTGGGAATATAAATCAGATTTTTCACATAGTTGGTGGACTTTGGTGGGTTTATTTTTTTGTTTCACAGGGTTTTTTTTTTTTTTTTTCATGTTTTATGAAAACTTCCAGCCGACATCACCTTGGTCACGTCTGTGTGGAGAGATTTCAGCTAATGATGAGAACATACACACATTTTATGATGAGAAAGTGACTCTGATTGATGGCAAATGGACAAGCATTATTCCAGAAGTCCTCTGAGTCTTTCAAATGAATTCAACTGGATTTAAATCTTGTATACCTACAGTTGTACGTTGGGGTTCAGGGGGTTATGACTTAAGACCCACATAAACACACATTTAAAAAATAAAATCTGTAAAGATAAATGTAGAGCCTGGACACTAACTTTTGTTGATTTGATGTTAAAGAAAGAGACTTTAGGATGTTTATGTCTAACATCAGTCCACTGTCAGGGTGAGTAGACGAGAGCTTCTAAGATCTTTTTCTGTGTTTGCAGAAAACTTTCTCTGGATTGTTTTAGTTTCTCAAATGTACTGAATGTCCTCCTTTAAACTCTTTGCTCAGTGACTGGACTCCACAGTTTA